GCTCCAAGATGGCCCAAGAGGGCCCCAAGAGAGCCCCAAAAGAGCCCCAAGACGGCCCCAAGAGCGCCCAAGAGCACTCCAAGAGCGTTCCAAGAGGGGTCCAAGAGGCGATTTTAGGGGCTTCCGAGGGGGGACGCTAATTAAACCCCCCCTCTTGTTTGATCGACTCCCTCCAAGATGGCCCCAAAAGCGCCCCGAAGGCTCCCCAGAGCGCCTCAAGAGGGTCCCAAGAGGCGCCCAAGATGCCCCAAGGCGCCCAAAAAGCCCTCCAAGAGGCCCTCAAAAGACCCCCAAGAAGCTCCTTCCCCTCCTCCTCCTCCTCCTCCGATTCTTCCTCCTTCTCCGTCCTCCTCCTCCTCCTCCTCCTCCTCCTCCTCTTCCCCCTCCTCCTCCTCCTCCTCCTCCTCCGACGACGACGACGACGACGACTCCTCTTCCATCCTCCCCCTCTCGGGGTCTGTGACAGCTTCCCCCGCCCTTTGTTATTCTGCATGCTCCCCGACTTCCCTGATCACCTCAACTCCCCTGAGCATCGTTTCTGGATGGGCTGGTGGGGATACGCGAAGCGTCAACAATTCTTTGATATCCGCAATTTGTCCGTGTGTTTCCTGAGCGCGACGTGTTCTGAGCTGCTTCGCGAACTTAAGGTATCTATCATAGCGAGGAGCGGCTTTCGCGCTTCGGCTTTGGTCAGCAACGAAGAGAGCACGTGTATTCCAATGCCATGTCTTCAGGAGGGAGGAGGGGGGCTGGGGCGGGCCCTGCCGGAAGCAGAAACGAGACCATATGGGCCAGGGTGGTCATCTGGGCGATCCGAGGGACCGAGACAGGGGACATCCCCAAGATCGGGGGCACTCGGCGGGAGGGCAAGGGAAACCCGAATAACGCAAGGAGGCGCATCTTCAGACCAGCAGTCCAGGGCGACCGCGGGGCTGTGAGGAGCAAGCGGGCTCGCAAAATGTGGATGCATTCTTTGAGGTGTCGCAAGCGTCGCTCCCGTAGCCCGCGGCCTGCAGCGGTCATCCGCAAATATGCTGTGAGTCATTCGGATGGGTAATCCCCTCCTTGAGTCATCGACTTGTGGAGGGACTGCCGCGTGGGACCCGTCAAATTGTTCAGGAAAAATGGAATGGCAATCTCTGGCTTGGCCGATTGTGGAAAAGCAACAAGGTCAACATGGCACAGGAACGCTGGGTTTTCATGGGCCCGTAGGACGTACACGTCCCCTCTGGGCCCGTTGGGTCCCAACTCCTTGCCTAGTCTTTGGGCAGCTGCAGCAAGAACGCCACGAACCTTGCCGATGGCCAGAAAGATGAGGCGAGTGCCAGGCTCAAAATCTCTCTTGGCTCGCAACATGATGTGCTGATTCGGGTAGATCGGGTGGGGAAAACGATCGGAACCCAGGAATTCATCATGTTGATGCAATGAGTCGCCTTCAGAGAGTGAACAACATCGAGCGTGATCGTCTTAGTCTCATCATATGTGCGGACAAGCAGTCGTTGTCGGTCCCGTGGTACGTCAGCCATCAACACCATCTAAGCCGCCCAATTCAAAGATGTCAGCACCATCCTCCGAAGGAGTCTAACCATGATAACTCGATAGGCTCTCTCCATTACTGCCTGTCTGGATGAGGGAATTCGCGAGGAACGGCTCACGAGGTTAAGCCTCATGTCCGAAGGAGGACTGGGGCCCACACGCGGTGATTGAACTGGGGTGGGGCGGCCCTTGAGCTTGGTTACGTCGTCGGTGATACACTGTAGCTTGGAATCAAGCATGGTGGCAACTACATTTTTGATGGACTCGGTCCGGCTGGTTTCGATGTTGGCGATGCGGAAATTGAGCTTCTGCACGTTTGGGTCCGTAACGAACATGGCTGGCTGAATAGCTTGGCCTTCCTGGGCAAACGTCTGCGCAAGAGAGATCATACAATAGTTTGAATGTTTATGCCTACGACCAGCTGGGTCATCCAGCTGGGCGGATCAGGCAGGGTCGCATCCATCGATAGAGTATCACTCCTGTCAATCATGGAACGTGTACGGTCGGAGTGCTTGAGGTCCGAATCTGAGCTGGGGATCCACTTGCTGCGAACTTGTCTTGGGCTCATGTCGTATCTGTTCGGCGCGGAGGATCTTGATGGTGAGCGCGAGTCGGGAGGGCCAGGGTGTAGTTCTCATCCTTCATCTCGGGGGATCTCGGATGCGACACCTGGTTGATTCGGGGAGCCTCACGTTTCTCCTGCCTTGCCACTCCCTTGCAAGGACCAGAGCCCCCGCTCACAGAGTCAACTGGGGTAATGCGGACCGTGGTGCGAAAGTGTTGGCAAGGAGTTCGTTTGGCAAACAAGCTTGCTATCGCACGAGGACTCACAGCAAGGATTGTCAACATATCAAGGCAACTGATGGCCTGGGGCCTTGAGCCAGACCTCGCGGCCTCGACCAAACTCTAGCCGCCGAGGCCCCGCGGTTGCAACTTGACCCAGAATCGCTGCGGATCTGGCTTTGCATCTTGGCGAGGAACAAACGGGTCCTCAGGGAGACGCGTCCAAGTCCCCAGGGCCATCCCCTAGGATCACCTTTTCGCACTAAGTCACCTTCAAGCACTCCTGGGGCCCTGAGAGGGCCCAAAGAGCCCCGAAAGCTGCACCGAGCTTCAAGAATCGTTTCCCTCTGGACCCGTCTGCTTCATGGCAAACATGGCTTTGCTTCCGCTAGCTTCCGTCGAACTACAGTGGAGGCCAGTCCACAAGAAACCTTCCACAAGAAACCCAACCCTGAGACCCCAAGACGTCCATTAGTTTTTGGTGTGGGAACGTCACGCTTTCCGCTGCAAAACCATCGAAACCGAAAATACCCAAGGCACCCTGGAGGCACGCAAGGTGTTTCTTGGCATGGGCCTCCACTGTACTTTCGCTGGCACAGCCGCCCCAAATTCACTTGTGCCGGCTTCCACGGGCCTTCCAGCAGCCTCCACCCTGGGGGCGAGAAACCAACCTTCTTTGTCGACCCGAAAGTGACGGAACTCAAATTTAGAGCGCCCTGCAACAGGCTCCTGCCATGGCGACGTCGGTTCTGGTCGCCGACACCGCGTGCGATCGATCTCTTCTCTCGCAGATCCTTCCAAAGTCTTTCTGGACTCTTGACCCAACCTTTCGTACGGATTTCGCTCCCTGGTTGTTCCCCACATGGTTCGTGGGGTTCTTGTTTTCTCCCCACCCGCGTCGCACCCGCGTCTTCCTCACCCTCCTCCCCTCCTCCTCCTCCTCCTCCTCCTCACCTGCACTTGCGCACGCATCAGATAATCAGACACAAGCGAACATGCAGTCGCACGCGCATGCCAAGAACATGCGCGCCCATACACTCTTACAACACACATATATGCACATACACAAGATATGACATTGATGGCACTTTCTGTGGCGGACATTGCTCCACCGTGGCGCTCGGTACTGATACGCACGTCGACATATAGCCGTGAACGTGTCATACACATTGATGACACTTTTCGTGGGCGGACGTTGCTCCACCGTAGGGCTCGGTACTGAGGCACACGTCCACATACAACCGTGCACGCACCCATGTTGAGACACACGTGCACGTACAGCCGCACACACATCATACACATACACAAGAAACGCGTCCGGTGACCTAGACGCTCATATGACAAGCGCACCATGCCCACGCATTCAACACATCCACATCCACATCACGCGCACGCAACACAACACATACGCGCAAGACTCGCATGACGTGGCAGGCGTGGCATTTTCTCCACACAAGGGGTGCGTATGGGGTGGTCCCTCTTCGCGGTCTCTGTCCGTCCCAGGGTCGCGGGGCGTGGCAGGCGTGGCATTTGATCACCATAAGAGGGTGCGTAGGTGGTGGTCCCCCTACGCGGCCTCTATCCGTCCCAGGGTCGCGGGGCGCGGCAGGCGTGGCACTTTCTCCATACCACAGGGGGTGCGCAGGGGGTGGTCCCTCTCTGTGGTTTCTATCCGTCCCAGGGTCGCGGGGCGTGGCAAGCGCGGCATTTTCTCCACACGGCAAGGGGGTGCGCAGGGGGTGGTCCCTTACCGCGGTCTCTATCTAACCCAGGGTCGCGGGACGTGGCAGGCGCGGCATTTTCTCAACACCGCAGGGGGTGCGTAGAGGGTGGTCCGTCTCCGTGGTCTCTATTCGTCCCAGGGACGCGGGGTGCGGCAAGGGGTGGTCTCTCACCGCGGTCTCTATCCGCTTAGGGTCGCGGGGCGTGGCAGGCGTGGCATTCCCTCCACACCACAGGGGGTGCGCAGGGGGCAGGTCTCGTGGTTGCAATCCATCAGTTGCACTAGCAGGGGCTTGCGTAGCATCCAGATCTGTAAACACTTTGGCTCAAGAAAGGCTCGGGACGCCAAGGTTTTCTCGTAGGCGCGCCGGGGTACCCAATCGAAGGCCGCAGTTGGATGTTACGCCGGCGCGCCAGTCATGCCGCCCAAAACTGCCATGGGCGAGTTGCCGCCTCCGTGCTCTTCGGCGTTGCCCTCGTTTCTGCTCGCACAGCATATCAGGCCCCCAAGGCTTGACAGGCGTCACCAACGGTATCGGCGGGCAACGGCCACCAGCACCATTTTCGCACGTGTCACTGCAGCTATCAGCACGCCAGACATATTATGAGTATGTGGGGTTCCTCGGTAGCGTAAACTTCCATGGGCCCTGGTTCCCGCAACGGGCCCCCACAGCGTGTTCAACCTTGAGCGCCCGCGCTGGCGTCACCGCCACATCGAAGCGGCGCGAACCTATCGAACCACTCTGGCTCGAAGTCAGCTTCTTGGGCCCCTCCTGGACACCATCCCGTGCATGCAGCATCTCGAACTGCGCCCAGTCCTGGCTTCGAAGGCCTCTCCCCCGAAACCAAAGATATGCCCAACAGCTTACTCTTGAGGCGTCGCCGCCGCGTCGCAGCGGGACTTGTCATCAAATCGCCACCTCGGCGGCGGCTGCGGCGCGGCGCCCAGGGCCGCGGGCCTTCTCCTCCAAGGTGAGGGCTGCCCTGAGGGCCGATGCGCGCTGGTCGAGGTCCAGGGAGGCATCGCACCACTTCCGAACTCCTGCGGAGGGGGAGGGAGGATGAGGAGTGTATTCGAGGTTCGCGAGATTCGAGGTTGCGGGTCCTTCTGGATTCGCTTTTGGGTCTCTGGAAGCCTCCAGGGGCCTCTGATGGCCTCCGAAGGACGGGAAGGGAGACCAAGGCCGTCCGCGGCGACGGTGCAACGGAAAACAGCCCGATCTGATGGCGAGGTCGAGACCGACCGAGACCAAGTTTTCCGGAAACAGGCAAACAGGACGCACCGACTGAGCCGACTGAGCGACGGCCGCAACGGCACCGACTGAGTCACCGACGCAGCGACGCAGCAACGACGCCGCAACCGACCCAACGCAACCGACCGCGACGCAACAGCACCGACCGAACCGTGGACACCTCTGCCAGGCCACAACGCGGGCCTCGGGCTGCCTCTCGGGACGACTCGGGCGCCCCCAGAGCGATCCCGGCGAGGCGCAGCTCCTGACGAGCATCCCGCGGCGAGGCAGTCTCCAAGAGCCAGCGAAAGATCAAGCAAACTCGAAAGCATTCGATCTCGCCTCTTCCGATCGCATCGGCCGAACCGCGGGCACCGTCAGCGGCCGCACACGGCAGGGAGGGGGCAAGGGAAGCGGGGCAGGCAGGGCGAGTGTGGAACGAGTCGGGTGACTCAGAGCTTGCCGAGCCATCCTGGTTGCCACTCTGGAGGAGGATGAGGAGGATGAGGATGAGGACGAGGATGATGATTATGAGGATGTGGATGATACTATGATCATGCTTGCGATGGTGACGATGATGCAAACACTAGTAACAATGATGATGCTGACGAGGACGATGACGATGAGGGTGATGATGCTGCTGCTGCTGCTGCTGATGATGATGATGATGATGATGTGTTGATGATGATGACGACGGTGATGATGATGCTGATGATGACGGATGCTGTATAATGATTATGCTGAAGATGTTGTTGTGGATGATGATGCTAGTGCCGATGATGCTAATGGTGATGATGATGCTGATTCTGATGATACTGATGCTGCTGCTGAGGAGGAAGAGGAAGAGCAAGAGGAGAAGGAGGAGGAGATAGTCGAGGAGGAGGAGGAGGATGGGGAGGATGCAGAGGAAGCGAACGAGGAGGGGGAGGAGGAACAGCACTAGGAGGAGTAGGAGGATGAGGAGGAGGATAAGGAGGAGGAGGAAGAGGAGACGGAGGAGGAGGAAGAACAAGAAGCAGAGGAGGAGGAGACGGAGGACGAGGAGCAGGAGGCGAGCGAAGAGAAGGAGGGGGAGCTCCCGTAACTTCAGGAGAAGGGGAAGGAGGGCAAGGGGGAGGAAGAGGAGGGGGAGAAGGAAAAGGAGGAGGAAGAGGGTACGGAGAAAGAGGAAGAGGAGGAGGATGAGGACGAGGACGAGGATGAGGAGGAGGATAAGGAGGAGGAACAAGAGGAGGAGGAGTAGGAGGAGGAGGAGGTTACGGAGAAAGAGGAAGAGGAGGAGGATGAGGACGAGGAGGAGGAGGAGGAGAAGGAGGAGGAGGAGGAGAAAGAGGAGGAGGAGGAGGAGGAGGGGAGGAGGAGGAGGAGGAGGAGGAGGAGGAGGAGGAGGAGGAGGAGGAGGAGGAGGACCCCCTTGGATCCGCTGGGAGCTCCTAGATCGTGCTGAAACCACCTCGAAGCGTCAAACACACTTCTGCCAATCTCGCCCTCGCCCTCCCTCCTCCCCGAAGGTCTCGGGTTGTCTGTTACTCAAAAGCAGTGGAAGCCCCCAGGGGTACTCTGAGGTCCCCAGAGGTCTCCGGAGGCTAACAAACAGCCAATTCGATCTTCGAACCTCGATCCCTCGCCTAGAGGCCTCCCAAATGGGGTCTGAGTAGATGGGGTCGGAGGATCGCGCCGCATCAACGGTACAAAGGCGATGCATCGGTGACCTCGGCGATGCGGCGGCGACGTCGGCGCGGAGAAAATCGGGCTCCACATCGAGCCGCATCGCCGATGCAGCGGCGATGCGGCGCGATCCTACGACCCCATCCACTCCAACCCCGTCTGGGAAGCCCAGAGCGTCTGCACTGGAGGGGGCGGAGGAGGCTGCTTCTAAGAGGGAGGAAGAGGAGGAGGAGGGGGAGGATGATGATGAGGAGGAGGAGGAGGAGGAGGGGGAGGAGGAGGAGGAGGAGGAGGATGAGGAGGAGGAGGAGGAGGAGGAGGAGGAGAGGAGGAGGAGGAGGAGGAGGAGGAGGAGGAGGAGGAGGAGGACGAGGAGGAGGGGGAGGAGGAGCCTTCCCCCGTCCGCGCTCCTCCCGCTCCCGGCTTTGCCCAGTCAGGCCCCGTGGCGCCCCTCGGCTGCCTCCGACCGCGGCGTGGTCAAGTGCGCCGCTAGGGCCAAGCCTGGGGGAGAGACATCTCAGAGCGTGCGCGCAGAAGTTTGGATGCTCGAGCCTCGGTGCCTCGCCCTCCCTGCAGGTGGAGGGGGGAGGGGGGAAGGGGGGGAGGGGGGGGGGGCAAGCTAGGTGCGCTCGCGTCATATCTGACGTCCTACCCCACTCTCCCTTACCACCATGGCGCTGATTTTCTCTATCCGCGGACGCGTGTCGCAGCGGACCTGTGGCTCCGCGCGCGCGTGCGTAGTGGGTGGTGGTGCGCGTGCGTGCGTGCGTGCGTGCGTGTGTGCGTGGTTGTGGTGGTGGTGTGGTGGTGGTGGTGGGTGGTGGTGGTGTGGTGGTGCTGGTGCTGGTGTGGTGGTGGTGGTGGTGGTGGTGGTGGTGGTGGTGGTGGTGGTGGTGGTGGTGGTGGTGGTGCGGCGCGGTGGTGGCGGGCGGATGGGCGCGCGAGAAAGAGGCCCGCGCTGGGGCGAGAACGCCATCCTGAACGACGGAGGCCAAACACCGATCCGAAAATGAGGCCCACGCTGCAGCGGGAGCACGATTCGGAACGATTCGGGAGCAGAAATGAGGCCGGCGCCTCAGCGAGAGCAGCATTTTAGAAAAAAACACAAGCGAAAACCCAACTCCGGGGAATCCTGTGTGTAAAAAAACAGTACGCGGGGGGGTGCCGAATATCTTCCGGACGCCATCAGGGGAAGTGGGAGAGTATTTTCATATTGTGTAATTGTGGAGGGGGGTAGGGGGGTAGGGGGTAGGGGGGGGAAGGGGGGAGTGGGGGATGGAACCGCGGCTCCTGTGGCCTCCTTCTGGCAGTGCAGCGGCTCGTCCGGACCGAGGGCGGCCACTGGCAAGATGCGTCCGCCGGCGCCCCGGGCGCAGCCGGGCGCGGGAGCTCTGCTCTCCAGCAGGGAGGAGGGGCGGGAGGGAGGGAGGGTAGAGGCCTCCAACGACTGTGCCCCAAGGAGGTTGCGCCAGCAGACCAGGGCGCAGCCTCCTCTCAAACCACGCGGCGCTGGGCGCAGTGGCCCAAATCACAATCATCTGCTGGCACCGGTGCCTGAGCGCAGGAGCGACCAGGGTCAACCTTCGAGCGCGGCTGGTTGCATCTCGGATGCGGGTTGGAGGCTTACATCCAATCGCGTGAGTTTTTTGGGGGGTGATTCGCAGGCTGGCGGGCAACAACCTCCCACGTACCCGACTCTTTCAAGGTCTTCAACCACGGGCGCCTCACGTCTTTCGCATCGCTTGCTGCTGGCTGAGGGCCATCACTGCGACGCCAACGCAGCCTTACCCGCGTTCTTCGCGACTGCTGTTGCTGACTACTTGAGCGAGATCTCCCTGAGACTCCAAGACCCCTCACCAACCTGCAGGGTGTTCACCTTCGCGCAAGACATTATGGTGTTCGCGCTCCTGGAGCACGTGGCTGCAGCGAAGCGACTGGTGGTCGGAGTCCTCACAAGTCACGGCCTCACTGTTGATCGAAACAGAACCCCAGGCGCGGTCAGTGGACCGAGAGAGTGACCTACCAGAATGTGCCCGCACCTTCGGAGTCGACCGCCTTTCACTGCCTGGACGACACTGCGCCGTGGCTACGGTCGGAACTTTTGCTTACCGTGTCGCGGCGGTGCGATGCAATCTCAAATTTATCGCCCAAAACAACATGTTGCATATGTGGCACTAGCGATGCAATCTCAAGCTTACCGCCCAAAACATCATGTGACAGATGCGGCACTAGCCCCGAGTATCATTCTGCGTGCGACCTTGAACTGTCTCCTTTGCCCGAATGCTCAAATTGCCGAGATCCCAAGCCCACATGTCAAAACGGCAGATGGCAATGGCGCCAGCCCCAATAATGCTTTTGATCGCCCCTCATGCGACTCCGCGGCCGCCCGCTGTTCCTGCCTGCTGGCGCGAGCGGCCCGAGCTCGCCGTGATGTGGCTCGACCAGCAGCCCCTGCAGCTTCACCACCGCGCGTCCCAGTGAGGAGGGGGGGGGGGTCGGCCCCCTGCCTGGGTGATCTGCCGCCGAAAGGTGCACCCTGGGACGAGTGCTCGCCCAGCCGAGCTTGGCGCGTGCGCAGCGGGTGCCACAGGTCACACCGCTGCAGGGGGGAGGGGTGGACTCGAGAGTCGGCGCAATCGTCGACGACGCAGTGCACGTTCGCCATTAGGATAAAGGGTCATACTGGGCACCCAGAGCTCCGAGACAACGTTTTCTTTACACGTCGGTCGGAAGAAACGGGTAGAAACATGCAGTAGGAAAGCGTTGAAGTAGATTGGGCTGGCGCCCGCCCCCCAAAGAGGAGGCACGAGGGAAAACAGCTCGACTTTTGAAGTAGGAAGGCGCCTATAAAGCAGATTAGGATCTGGGCATCCGAGAGAATACCCACCTCCAACGACCCGGCGGCGTGTGATGCTCGGGCCCTGGAACCCTCGGCCTCTGCCTGAAGACATATGTCCTTCCACAGCGAGCCGTTTTTTGGGCTGGCTGCCACGCGCACGGCCTGGAGCATGCCCCACACGCCCGACAACTATTTCAGGTCTGCGGCGCAGATGTTCGGGCCCTGGAGCCCTCGGCCTCTTCCCAAAGACATGTTCTTCCACTGCGACCCGTTTTTTTTCCCTACCTAGGCTCTGCCTAGAAGGTTCTTACTTTATAAGCTTAAAGGGCCGGGCAATGTTCCTCGCCCTGGGCGGTTTCCCCGGCATCCGCCCCGCGGTTCCCCCAGTCCCCTGGGAGCTTTAGCTTTAGCTTTAACTTTAGCTCTAGCTTAGCTTTAGCTTAGCTTTAGCTTTAGCTTAGCTTTAGCTTTAGCTTAGCTTCAGCTTAGCTTTAGTTTAGCTTTAGTTTAGCTTTCGCTTAGCTTTCGCTTAGCTCCAGCTTAGCTTCAGCTTAGCTTGAGCTTAGCTTTCGCTTAGCTTTAGCTTAGCTTTATTGTTACTACTAATGCTGCTTTCCTAGGGGCTCCAACTCCTAGGTAGGGTCGCACTGGGATAATTTGGCTGGCTGCCATGCGCGAGGCCCGGAACATGCCCCACACGCCCGACAACCATTTCGGGCCTGCGGCGCAGAGGTTCGGGCCCTGCACGCCGCGTCGGGCCTCGACAAAAAGAAGCGGTCCTGCGTGCAGGGGGACCTTCCTGGCCGACGACAGCTCCAGCAAGGTGCCCTAGGTGTTTCCCGGTTTCGAGCATTGCGGGTCTTTCTGTTGGTCCTCGCCAACGCGGCGGCTGAGGTGTCCCCCCGTTTCCGTGTTTCCCTGCTTCTCTCCTCCCGCCCCCTCCAAAACCGGCTCGAATCGGGCCCAACAAAGGAAACAGCATATTTCACGAGCTTGTGAAACACTTGTTCGGGCCCTACGGGCCTTTCTCCAATCCTTGCCGACGCGTTGTCGGAGGTGTTTCCCTGCTTCTGTGCTCCCCCCCTCCGCCCACGTACTGACTCCTGATGTAGTCTGCCCAAAGCTAACCTCTGGAGCTACCCCATGAAAGGAATCATACTATCTACCTGGCGTGTGGAGCACTTTTGGGTCCTCGCCAACGTAGTGTCAGATGTGTTTCCTTGCTTCCATGTTTCTCACTTTTAGGGGGCAAACAAACCTACCTCGCTTTTGACCACCCTCGCTTCCAAGAGATACCAAGCGATGCCAAACTACGGCCTGTACTGGTCAGGCCGCTTGACGAGGAGGCGCGTGGTATGACTTGGCTTTGCCTGGAAGCGAAAGTGGGGTAGGTAATTCACGCTCTGAACTTGCCCCCTTCCCTCCCAAAGGTGTTCTGCAGCAGTTTGGCCAAGAGAAGGAACCATGAGGTAAAACATCTCACGGCCCCGAAGCACTCTTCGAGCCCGTGAAGTGCCGTCTCTGGCCTTGCCGTTTTTTTTTTTTTTTTTTTTTTTTTTTTTTTTTTTTTTTTTTTTTTTTTTTTTTTTTTGGGGGGGGGGGGGGGGTTTCCCATTGCGCCTTGTTGTTTTGTTTGTTGTTTGTTTTTGTTGTTTTGTTTTGTTTGTTAGTTGTTTGTGTTATGTTGTTTGTTTGTTTTGTTTGATTGTTTTAGTTCGTTGAAGGTCCCAGGGCCCCCAGGGGCCGAACATTGCGAACAACCTCTGCCTGGATGTTCTCAAGTCCATCGAAATCGGTCCCCGGACCCCTCTTGGGGTCCAAACGCACTGGTCTTCCGAGCTGCGTTCAGCCAAGGCGACGAGGGGCCCATCGGAAGGCCAACCACCGTTGTCTCAACTCGCCCTCTTCTGGACATAGCTGCCCTAGAAGAACAATTATAATAAGCAGAAGAAGAATAATACACATACGACACATAAGAACAAATAGCAATACCAATGATAATGATAACAATAAGGATAAGACGAACACGCGCCATAAACATAAACTTTTGGCGCTCCGCGCGGATTTCTTGGATCTGCGCTGGACCCCCACTCCCTGGCGCGCGGAGCGCGCCAAGGGCGGCGCCAGAGGCGCCGCCCAGAGGGCCCCGCACGGATCCAAGAAATCCGCGCGGAGCGCCACAAGTTTATGTTCATGGCGTTTTTTTCTTCTTTTTCCTTCTTGGATCAGCTCGCTCTCCTCTGGACACGGCGAGCCGCATCGGCGATGCGGCGAGATCCTCTGACCCCATCTACTCCGACCCCATCTGGGAGGCCTACAGTCGGGCTGCTGAAAGAAGACACGATAAACAAGGAACGAACCCCCTTTTTGGCCCCACAAGCGCCTGCGTGCACGAGGAAGGCCAGAGGGAAAGCCACATAATGACCTAGGGAATATCGAGCCCCTTTCGTGCCCAAACTCTTCCTTACTTCGGCGACTTGGCTGTAGATCAACTCGCCCTCCTCTGGACCCCATTGGGCCCGCACCAAAGGTCACTCTGGCGAAAGGTCACTCTCGGCGATGGAGAAACCTCCCTTTAGTAAACCTCTGGACCCGCAAAAATGACGGCCGCGACACCCTCTCGTGAGCCGAAAACGGCCAATTCCTTCATCGACGTGCCAGGGTAGGAGGTTTGTCCACCTCCGACACTCTTACGTATCGTCGATCCGACCCCGTCTACTCCGACCCCATCTGGGAGGCCTGGATCAACTCGCCCTCCTCTGGACTTGGGTGTCCCAAAACCGTGTGGTGACAGACCCGGCGGTGACCTGGAAATCCGCAAAGACCTCACCGCACGGTCCGTCACCACACAGTTTTGGGACCCTGGAGGCTCCAGCCGCCCAAGACATCCTCGGAGAACGACCCAAGTCCCCAAACCGTGCGGTGACCCCGAATCCCCACCGACTCACCACACGGTGTGGTCACCACCCCGTTTGGGAGCCCTCCTCTGGACACAGCTGCCGAGCCGACTCTGCCCGGCTGCCGGGGCGCAGCTCTCTCCCTCCCACGCGCGGGCGACGCGAGGCCTCCGCGGCCCAGCGGCGCGCCTTGCGGAGGGCGTGTCTCTCCCTCCCGGCAGGCGGGGGCCCGCGCGGGAGGGCGCGCGCACGGCGCCCCGGGGCCGCGGAGGAGGGGGAGGAGGAGGAGGAGGAAGAGGAGGGGGAGGAGGAGGAGGAGGAGGAGGGGGAGGAGGAGGGGGAGGGGGAGGAGAGAGGATGAGGAGGGGGAGGGGGGAAGGAGGAGGAGGAGGAGCGGAGGAGGAGGAGGAGAGGAGAGGAAGGAAGGAGGAGGGAGAGGATAAGGAGGAGAGGAGGAGGAAGAGGAGGAGGGGGAGGAGGAGGAGGGAGGGGGAGGTGGAGGAGATAGGAGAGGTGAGTAGGTAGGAGGAGGCAGGAGGGGAGGAGAGTAGGTAGTAGGAGGAGGAGAAAGTGAGGAGGATGAGGAATGAGGTGGCGGGGAGGAGGAGGAGGAGGGAGGAGGAGGAGGTGCAGGAGAGGAGGAGAGGAGAGTAGGATGAGGCTGTGGCTGAATCGGAAGGAGGAGGCGTGCACAGGGAGGGGTGGGCTGGGAGGTGCTGAGGGCAGACGTAGGGACGGGAGGAGGGTAGGTCATGAGCGGAGGACAAGCTAGGTGCGCTCGCGTCATATCTGACGTCCTACCCCTCCCTCCCATCCCTTACCATGGCGCTGATTTTCTCTATCCGCGGACGCGTGTCGTAGCGGACCTGTGGCTCCGCGCGCGCGTGCGTAGTGGGTGGTGGTGCGCGTGCGTGCGTGCGTGCGTGTGTGCGTGGTGGGGGGTGGTGGTGGTGGTGCTGGCTGCGGCGCGGTGGTGTGCGGGCGGATGGGCGCGCGAGAAAGAGGCCCGCGCTGGGGCGAGAACGCCATCCTGAACGACGGAGGCCAAACACCGATCCGAAAATGAGGCCCACGCTGCAGCGGGAGCGCGATTCGGAACGATTCGGGAGCAGAAATGAGGCCGGCGCCTCAGCGAGAGCAGCATTTTGAAACAAACGCAGGCGAAAACCCAACTCACGGGAATCCTGTGTGTTTAAAAAACAGTACGCGGGAGGGGTCTACTACTCCCAGCACGCCATCAGGGGAAGAGGGAGAGTAGTATTCATATTGAATAATTGTGGAGGAGGGGGAGGAGGAGGAGTAGGAGGATGAGGAGGAGGAGCAGGAGGAGGAGGCGGAGGAGGCGGAAGAGGAGGAAGAGGAGGAGGAGGAGGAGGAGGAGGAGGAGGAGGAGGAGGAGGAGGAAGAGGAGGGGGGGGGGGCGGGCAGGAGGGGCCCTCGCCGCCGGCGATCCGCAGCCTGCGCGCTGCCAGTGACTCGGCGGCGGCGACGACGAGGACGAGGACGAGGACGACGAAGACGATGCTGTAGACCAAGCGCGCGACAGAGACGAGGGCGACGATAACGGCGAGGAAGCAGACGACAGCTCGGCGGCGAGCCAGGGAGGGAAGTGAGAAGGAGAAGGCCTTCCCAGAAGGCTGCGGGGCTTCTCGGAGGCCCCCACGCCTTCTGAGAAGTGTTTTTTTTGTTTCTTTTCCTTTTTCTTTTTGTGTTTTATTTTTTTTCTGTCTTCGGGGAATGCTACTAGGAAACTTAATCAGAAGGTCTGTTTTCTCCCGAGCCTTCTGAGAAGGCCTCCTCCTCCTCACTCCCCCCCCCCCTCGCTCGTGGCCGAGCGACGGTGAGGCCTCGGGCTGCGCGCAGGCAGCCCCCCCCCCCTGGTGGCCCCAGCTGGCCTCAGCAGGCGCCTCCAGCGGCCCCCAGGTGGCCCCCACGGGACCCCCAAGCAGCCCGGGGCGGCCACAGCACCCTGTCGCCGCCTCCGGAGGCGCCCCTGGGGGCGCCCCGCCCGCGCACCAGGGCTGGAGTGCTGAGACTGCCCCGGACCACCTCGCGGCCCGAAGCTGCACCGACCAGTGCAGAACCAGCACAAAGGGGGCGCAAGCATCCACTTGCGGGGGCGCGCTCGGACTTTTTTTTTTCTTTGGGGGGGGGGGGGGAGGCGCTGCGCTGGGCCCTCCGACGCGGCGTCAGGGGAGGGGCGTGGGGTCGAAGCTCGGCCCCTCGGGGGGGGGGAGTCGGTCGCTCTGGGGCCTGGGGACGGAACCGCCAAGCTCACGACGTCGAGGGAGAGTCTGGGATCGGACGGCCCCGGGGACGATGCAATGAATAACTCCGCGCGCGGAGCTCCCACAGTGCATGTTCATGCCTTCCCTCTTGGAGGTCAAGAGAGGGATGGCGGGGCCGCAGCCCGCACCCAAACCGCAGTCTGGCGCGCGCGGCGCTGCCGGGGCCCTGCCGGGGACCTGCCGCGGGCGGCAGCCCGGGGTGCCTACCTTCAGACGAGGGCGCCGACGAGGGGGGGGGGGCCGGGAAGGAGGAGGGGGGGAGGGGGGCATCACGGCCCGAGGCGGGTGCGCGGACGGGAGAAAGGGCCAGGAGAAGTCTTGCAGGAAGCAAAAGGGGCCGCCACGAGGTCTGGGAGACGTCACGGCCCGGGCCACGACATCCACACCTCCGTAGTCCTCACACCCTTCTTGGGCGCCCCCGATGCTGGGGACCCTACTGGCGCTGGAATCCACACCTTCCGCGACTCAGCTCGAGAGCCAAGGAAAGCTCACCGCAAGACTGCATCTCGTTCGGGTGCTGCGCGCGCGTGCCTCCTGTTCTACAAAGGCCGACATCGGCTTTCACGACTACGTGTCCAGGGTCTACGCCGAGCCCTAGTCGAATCGTGTGGTACATAACACCATTACCTAGGGCCCCACTAGAGTCCTGCCTCCACTCAGCGCGCCCACAGCTTTGAACCAACCGTGCCCATACATTGTCAGAAACTCACCAACACCCAGATTCGTACCACGGACTCGCTAGGACCCGAAGAACCTCACCATAATCTCGCCGAGACCCTGCTGGTATTTGTGGGCCAGGCCTGGCAATGGGAGCCTGCCGCTGCCCCAGTGCCCAGAATAGTTCCAGCACCTCGACCAGACCTCTGCCAGAGAGCTAACGCATCTTTACAATACGTTCACCAAATCAGCGTCAAAGTACCCGCCGAACCACTTGCAACGCCTTGCAGCAACGCTACCATACAGTAGACGCTCTATAGTGCTACCAGAACCCACCAATCCACCAGACCGCAAACATAGCCCTGTTCCAAGCCTGCCTGCCAGAGCCATGCCACCGACCATGATGCTACCCAGGCTGTAAGAGACAGTTACTCGATCGGAGTTCCCACATCAGATTAAAAAAAGGGTTCTAATACGGTCGCGCCCTCGAGGAGGGCTGTGCAAGAACCGATGGCAGGAAGACGTAGGTGTGCCTCCTTTCTGGCTCTTTCTCCTCCTTTGCCCCCTCTCCTTGGGAAAGGCAGCCGGTGGCTGGCGCGGTCGGGCGTGGCCTCCCTGGATGGGGCAAACGGCACAGGTGGGACTGGCTGGAATGGGAAGAGTACGATCCTTGATGCGTAAACATTGTGCTTCGATGGCTGGCGCGATCTGGCGCGGCCTCCCTGGATGGGGCAAACGGCACTGGTCGGACTGGTGGAGTGGGAAGGCTACGATCGCTGATGAACAAGTCAGGGTGCTGCTCCGATGGATGGTTTCGTCTGGCGCGGTCTCCCGGGAGTCGACTTGGCGACTGGTGGGGCTGGGCTGATGGAGTGGGAAGTGCATGCAGGAGGAGAAGGAGGAGGAGGAGGAGGAAGAAGGTGGAGGAGGAGGAGGAGGAAGAGGAGGAGGGCAAGCGGTATTCATTTGGACCCGCGCAATGTGAATGGTATGTGTGAAGAGGGGGTACCAGAGTGTTCTCAGTGCAAGAGGAGGGCGGCGGAAGCACAAATGCGAAGGATGACAAGAACCCACTCAAAATGCCGGGAACATCCAAGTCCCCAACAGAGGCCCGCGAGCATCAAGTTCCCTGCGAGAGACCCGCGAGAATCAAAGGCACTGCCAGAGCCCTACCTCGACCCTGCCAGAAGCTCACCCTAGTCCTACCAGGACGTTGCCAACACCCCACAAATGCCAGACGCCATGGTACGGGAATGCCTTCCAACTCGAAACACACGTGATGGGGGACTGGACAAACTTTCTGCTTTTCGCGCGCCGTGCCGCTCCATATCCGGAAACGACACACACGAACCAGCGTGCACCACGACTAGAACCCACGGCCCCGCCACCACCATACCTGCACCTGAGGCCGTACGGGAACCTCACATACTCCGTACCTTAATGTGCTCTAAGTGAGACAGACGCGCCGCAGCAGTGCAATTGTAAGTGGTATGCTGAGCCTCTTGTCACATCTAGTGAGGCCTGAGGGAATCGCTGTGAACAACATGAATCGCAATCTAGCCCACCCATCCTTCACTTGACCTATACCCATCGGTCGGAAGAAATAGGTAGAAACATGAAGTAGGATGGCGTTGGAAGTATATTGGGTCTCCGCCCGCCCCCTGAAGAGGAGGGAAGAGGGGAAGCCACTCGATCATTGAAGTGTGAAGGCGCTTAAAGTATATTGGAGTATGGGAATCCCAGAATACATGCTCTCAACGACCGATGGGTACTATCTTCCTGCCCCTTCCGTACAATTTCGCTGTCTCGGCACTTCTCTCTGGAGGTGCGTTGCCATGCCTCGGCCCCGCTCCTCTCATATTCGCAAGTCGATTTCCTGAGTCAGATTAGTACTCTGGGTGGGATACTAATCGGGGGGTGGGCGACTCACCTTCCGACGGAGCTTACTCCTCCCCCCCTCCTCCTCCACCTCTTCCTCCTCCTCCTCCTCCTCTTCCTCCCCTCCGCCTCCTCCTCCTCCTCCTCCTCTTCCTCCTCCTCCTCCTCTTCCTCCTCCTCCGCCTCCTCCCCCTTCTCCTCCTCCTCCTCTTCCGACTCTGGCAATCGGAGCTTCTAGCCGAAGCTCGTGGCGACGGGCCGAAAGCAACGCGGATGAAGAACAGACGCGACTCTCCAGCAGTAGAGCAGACATTGACAACACAAACGCGCGCCTGTTGACGTCGACGTGGTTGTAAGAGTCGTCGACGTGGTTGTTGCAGTCGTCGACGTGGTCGGCCGAGTAGTACTCGTAGTACTCGGTGATGAACTGATTGTTGACGTTGTACGTTTTGTGGTCGATGTCGTGCTTGTTTCTGTCGTCGCAGTTCGGCTCGTCGTCGTTCTCGTGGTAGCGGTGGCCGTGGTGGTCGCACTTCGGGTAACTGGAGTGGTTATCGTTGTAGCAACCTCCTTCGTGGTCGCTGTTTGTGAAACCATGCCTTGCGTAGGTGCAGGGAGCGTCTCGACTATAGGAACAGCCGCCGCGACGGTGTTAGGAATCACGGCAGACACCTTGGCCAGAATGAGGAGGAGGAGGGGCAGCAAGAGGGAATGGGATGAGGAGAATAGGACAACAAAACAGGCGGCACAACAGTAAGCTCTCGGACCTCCCACATTCTGAGTTCATGCCGTTCCCTCTTCTTCGAGACAAGAGGGATGATTAGGTTACAGCCTGTACCTGGATCGCAGAGTCCAACACGTGACAATACTATCATGACAGAACACAGCACGGCCGTGAGCACTGGGACCTCCCAGACGCTGTGCTCATGCCATTCTTTCCACTTCGAGGTATGGGGGGACGACTTGGTCACAGCAAGCACCTGGATCGCAGGGTCCAACACGTGCTCGGTCCCGTCGAAGCGTCTCCACCCCGTCGTCTGCCAGGGCATCGGCACTTCGCTGGAGAGCATTGCATGCGCCCCGCCCCGCCCCGCCCCGCCCCCCCCCCTTGCCGGCATCACCCCCATCACCCCCTCCTTCCTCCTCCGCTGCCTCCTCCCTACCAATCCTCTTTTCTTGACTCTGATCAGACATGGGATGTACAGCAAGTGCGCTCGTGCCGGGAAAAAGGCAAAGAGCCGACTCAGGCGCAGTGACCAACACATTAGACCTGGTCTGGAGCGTGGCAGACAAGAGCCAGGGCGACAGAGAAACAAATAATGCTACGCCTGCTAGAGCACACTGCGTACGCTCACCAGGTCGGGAGCGAGTGATGAAGGTGATGAGGATCTGTGAATACCAAACGCTAAAACGATAATCGGCAAGACCGAAGGAGGACCCCAATGAGGTAGTATACCTACTGAAGTGTGCGGGCGGCAACATATTGGTGGCACTGTGTCCTCCTCCTCCTCCTTCTCGTCCTTCTCCCCCTCCTCCTCATCCTCCTACTCCTCCTCCTACTCCTCCTTCTCCTCATCCTCCCACTTTCTCGTCCGGATTCTCCCACACGCCCCTCCTTCATCCTCCAATCCTCCTGCTCCTCCTCCTCCTCGCCTCCTCCTCCTCCTCCTCCTCCTCCTCCTCCTCCTCCTCCTCCTCCTCCTCCTCCTCCTCCTCCTCCTACGGTGGGTTCGTGTCGTGACGACCTGTGCGTTGCGCGTTGGCTTCTGACACCGCGCGGATCGCTTAACCGTGAACGATCGCGGCCCTCCGAAGGCGCAGGTCGGTCACTGCAGACGACTGGCAGCTGGTGGCTTCCAACCTGGAACGCCCGCGGTGCGGTCGTCACCGAGTCGACACGACGCGCACCTACCGTACCTATTCATCTCATCGTCCTACCCTCCACTTCCGCCTCCTCCTCCTCCTCTACCGTATCCTCCTCCTCCTCCTCCTCCTCCTCCTCCTCCTCCTCCTCCCTCCTCCTCCTCCTCCCTCCCCTCCCCTCCCCCCTCCCTCACAGATTTCCCTCCTCCTCCTTCCTCCTCCTCCTCGTCCTCGTTCTCCTCCTCTTCTCCGCATGCTCTCGTGCCCCCCATTTCTTACCCAAATCCTCTCCTCTCCCCCTCCTCCCTCCTCCCTCCTCCTCCTCCTTCCTCCTCCCCCTCCTCCTCCTCCTCCTTCTTCTCCTCCCTCCCTCCCTCCTACCCCCCTCCCTCCATCCTCTTCCATCTGCACATCCCTGGGACGGCAAGAGCACTGGAGACAGGGGTCGGGGCTCCGCGATTCGCAACGACGACGGCCTCCGCGCTCCGGCCGGCGGCACCCCGAGGGGGAGAGGGAGGAGGAGGAGGAGGAGGATGATGAGGAGGAGGAAGAGGAGGAGGAGGAGGAGGACGAGGAGGAGGAGGGAGGAGGAGGAGGAGGAGGAGGAGGAGGAGGAGGAGGAGGAGGAGGAGGCGGACGAGGAGGAAGGGGAGGAGGGGGGGAGGAGGAGGGCGAGGGGGAAGAGGTGAATGGGGAAGACGAAGACAGGAGGGGGAGGAACGAGCGAGAGGGTGAGGTGTGTGGGGGAGGGAGAATTGGGGTGAGCGATTCGGGGGAGGGAGGGTCGAGAAAACGAGTGGGAACAAATTCGCCACCGTCGCACAAGCGCCTGCAGGACGGACCTTCATACCCTTCGCCCATCAACATTTTCAATATCCTGGGGTACGCAATATGCGGGCTGGGAGCACTGTGCGGCAGGCAGTTCGGGGCAACACCGGCGTATTGTGTTTCTCCGCGGCTACTCTGATGAAGGTCTATGCGCCTCCTTGGATTATGCTCCATCCGTGCCCTGCCGGTGCGAGCTCCAGGTGCAGGACGGACGTCGCGAGCGATCGTGCTCAGCAGTCGAGAACATCTACGGACTCCTCCGCCTCCTCTTGCTGCTGCTGCTGCTGCTGCTGCTGTTGCTGATCCTCCTTCTCCCCCTCCTCCTCCTCCTCCTCCTCCTCCTTGAGCTCCTCCCCCTCCTCCTCCCCCTCCTCCTCCTCCTCCTCCTCCTCCTCCTCCTCCTTGAGCTCCTCCTGGCCTCCCTCGAGCCCTCTGCCGTGGAGCACGCCCCGCCTGCCGCCCGCGGCCGGAGAGTAGATCCACCCGTTGCTGGACTGGAAGTTGGTGGCCCTTACGTCGCCGCCCCCGATGGCCCAGTCGCCCCTGCCGGGCGAGGAAGACGAGGCACCCCTGGAAAAGGAGGAGGAGGATGAGGAGGAGGAGGAGGAGGGGGAGGAGGAGGGGGCAGGAGGGGGAGGAGGCAGGGCAGGGGGGATGTCTGGTGCCGCTGCGAGGCTCCGGCCCTGCGGCAGCGGCACCCTGCGAGGCCGCGGGCGCCCCCCTTGGTGGACGCCATCGCTCGGACGTCCATTTCCGTGTGCTTTTTTCGGTTTCGTGCGTTTTTTTTATCGCCAAATGATCGAGGGTGCTCCTCGATTGCCCTCGCCGAAGAAAAAATGCACACGTCCGAGCGATGCCAGGTTAAAGTTAAGGAACAGAAAATTCGGCCATAAGAGAGTCACTTCGCTCCCAGCGTTTTCGTAAACAGCAGCCCAGGTCCAGATACACGAACGTTCTACAAAAAAAGAAAAGAAAACGCCCAGGGTCCACTTCAGATTCTTAGTTTTCTTGAGCGAGATCTGGAGCCCATGAAAATTGATGCTTTTTCTTCAGCTGCCTGATGGGTGTAGTGTAGTTGTAGTCATCGTTTCGTTCTTTCTGGGGCGTGCCAGGAGGTTCTCGTCACCACGGTTGGGCGCAGCTCGAAAGCCTGGTCAGGATGGACTCGGGAAGGGGTCTGGGGGCCGATTTCGTACGCATCTGGGAGGTGGAGGATGACGAGGATGACGCGAAGTGGGAGCAGTGGGAAGAGGTTGACGAGTACGAGGAGGAGCAGGAGGACACCCTATCAACACTCCTTACAGGAGCGTGTGGAGATAGAGGAAGAACAGGAAGAAATTGGCCGCCTTGCGCTGGCGAGCACATGTATATGTGCTTCCGTAGCCATGGCGCAAGAACAGAGACGACTTATGATGTGAACGCTTAACTGAGACCATGTCGAACTACGGAGACACGGAACACATCAATGATAAGACTACAGGCCACCTATGCCACACTACGCCAATCGATAAGCTACCTCAACGATGGGTCGAATGCTGAAGGTAACGTCCAATGTCAAAATGCTTCACATGTTGTCCAAACGTCCAATCATGATTCACGTCTGAATCACCTGTTGCCTCCTTACCGTCACTCTGATCCACGTATGCTTCAACTTGTGCATAAGTGGAGAATTCTGGTTCAGCAATCCATGTTTTATTCGCACTCCGTTCACACTTGATTCACATTTGACTCGCATTCTACCCGTTTGGCTTACACTTCTTCTTCAACTCACCCATCTTTGATTCACATCCCATTTACGCCATAGTCGTCATAGTGTGCTCACATATGTCCAATTTACGAGCTACTCATGTGTAGCACATGTGACTTGCATTCGGTCTGCTTGTGGTTTCCAGTGTGTCCACATCCGAGTCACTTTTCCCTCACATTCGCTTTACAACCGATGGACGTACATACGCGCGATTCGCATCCCACCGACATCTATTTCACATGCGGGCCAAGCAATCTTCGCACTCTGTTCACGGCTTTCACGGGCACGCGCTAATTCCAACAGCTTTTTGTTTGCATATCTGGATTTTCTTGCGCGCAATCATAAAGGCTCCCCCAGCGCTGTCGAGGAAATCGTCATATCTCTAAGGCTGACAGACATGCTTATCCGTCGCAGAATTGCGCGTTCAAGCGTGCGTTGCTGTGCTCCACACAAGCATGGCGATGCATGACACATTCGTGTCCACTTCCACTGCTCCACATCCCGTGGAACACGGTGGCTTGAATTGACAGTCCCTGGCAAGAAAACGTTGGTGGTCCGTTCGGTCGGCCTCAAAGCCAAGCTCCTGTTCTTCAAACCGAAAGCTCGGCCGTCGGCAATAAAGTCGCAGCCCGCGCGAGCCCATGGCAACCACTGCCGATCTCACCATGCCATTTTTTACTTTCTCTTTTTGTCCTTCTCCTTCGTGGTCTCCTCCTTTGCTGCCTGATCCATTTGATGCGGGCGCTCCCCTACCCCGCGGATGTAGATGGCCAAATGTCCCCATGTTATGACCAATAAGGAAGCACCGATAACCGCCTGCTGCCACCTCTCGAAGTTCCTATCATTGCTGCTGAGGATGGTGTCAATAACCCAGCCAGGCCACATAAAGGCGCTCGTGGCAATTGTCAATGCAATCTTGGGAGGCTCCTGCGTGTTCAGCTCGCTGACCAATCCTGTGATGACGACGCTGAGCCACAGTAGAAAACTGAATAATACTACGCGGACAGCAAAATCTTCCAAATATCCCGACTGGCCACTCCACTCGTCTTCGTTGAAGAACTGCTTGACGCTCTCCATGTTCAAAAAGGGGGCGCTGGCGGGTCGCACGAGCGGCGAGCCCTTCGCTGCAAGAGAGGGCTCCTTCTGTTTGGCTCTCGGCTTCAGCCCAATTGGCTACGTTGTTCGTTCTGTGGTGTCCTGTATTGTGACGTGCCCTGCCCGATCTGTATGCGGTTCCCTTGCGTAATGTGTACGACGTGCTGTGGGAGCATGTGAGCACTGTCACGGACCTGCGCACTGCACAACGGACACTGAAGCTTTTTCTGTACGAATGTGCGTGCCCTTTGGCCAGTCGATGGCTGCACATGGATATATGATAATGTTTTTCACTGTCCGCGTTTGCGCGCGGGACTTGTCGCTATACCCGCGCACCGGCTCGACTTTACTTACCATGCAGAACGCCAAAAAATGTCGCAACGGGGCCCGCCAACCAGGTCTGCACGAACCCGGCGCCGTTCTGATGTACCCTGCTTTCTGACTGCAGACGCGTGTGATGTGATGTAATGCAAGGCATCGTAAGACAAACCAGATTGTATACTATGTAGATAAATAACATAGCGCCGTAGCGCCCCTCGTCATGCTCATTCTGAGCAGGTGCTCAATACTGTGCGCCCCCGGCTGGCGAGCCTGCGAGCGCCGGGTGCCCTGGGACGTGCAGCGCTTTGCATAACGAAGCATGCGCAGTACACACATATGTTAATCAGGCACTTTCAGGAAACATAAAGGGTGGCACAACCACATCGCGAATCAAAAAGTCGTTAGGCCAACCAGGAACACCGCACAAGCCGACCTGCAATAGGCAAACTCATGCTATGAACCATGGCCTCGACAACAAGTCACCAATGCAGCTGCTCTGCATGCAGGCGAGCATGCAGGACACCCACTCTGCGACAGGACCCACAGCGCAGCGTATCGTATCGCAGCATAACAGCACTGCATGCAAGTGGCTAGTATCGCGTAGTATGGCATATCATGGAATACTACGTCATTGCTGACAACTTCATATCAACATATACCATTTCATGTCATGCAACACCCTGGACTTACACGGAGTTCCTCGCGTGGCACGGCGTAGCAAACATACCATGGCATATGACAGCATGCATGGGGTATCGCGTCACCGCGTATCATGACACATCACTGCGTGATCTCTTAAGTCGCAACTTATAATATTATCGCTTACAATGGTTATGCCAAATCCAAGGGGCAACGCACAATCAACACCGACAACGCATGCCATACAACACGACACTACACGATGACACAATGCGGCCGGACCTGCCACATCCAAACCCACGGCTCCAAACACTTTGATATAGCAATCCTGGCATATGACACCGCGCTGCTTGTGATCTCAGTGCGCTCGTGCGGTCTACAACGGCGGTGCCTCCTGGAAGTGTGGTGTGCGCGTGGATGTACGAGCATCAAGCCACTCAGTGTAATGCGGCCGCCACCACGCAATGTGCTCAGGCCCGTCGGACCACTACTCTTTGACCATCGTGCTGATGCCTGTTCCATTCACGCGTATGTTCTACAGTCAGTGCTGGCTGCAAAGCACCCTCGCCCCCTGTGACACGATTGCACGCTTCCATATCAGACGAAATCGTCTTGGCGAGGGACCCAACCACATGCCGTTGTGAGTACCGTAATGGTGCGTGTCCTCTTCGGTGGAACTCCCTGTGGGGCCACGAAGCGCATGAGCGGTGTGCGGAAACGGGTGGCGGGGCGCATGTGGCCACAGCCACTGGGGCCTTCGGTGAAGCTCCCTATGGTGCCACGAAGCGTGTGAGTGGCGTGCCGAAAGGGGTGGCGGGGACGCATGTGGTCACAACCATTTGGGGCTTTCGGTGGCGCTCCCTACGGGGCCACGAAACGTGTCAGGGGCGCGCAGAAATTTGTGGCCAGGGCGCATGAGGCCACAGCCATTGGGGCCTTCGGTGGGGCTCCCAATGAGGCCACGAAGCGTGTGAGGGGTGTACCGAAATAAGATGCGGGGGCGCATGTGGTCACAGCCACTGGGGCCGTCGGCGGAGCTTCCAATGGGGCCATGAAGCATGTGACGGGGTGTGCCAACATTGGTGGCGGAGACGCATGTGGTCACAACCACGGGGGCGTTCGGTGACGCTCTCTATGCGGCCACGAAGCGTGTGAGGAGGGGTGTGCCAACATGGGTGGCGGGGACGCATGTGGCCACACCCACTGTGACCTTCGGTGGAGCTCCCTATGTGGCCCCCGAATGTGTAAGGGGTGTGCCGACACGGGAGGCGGGGACGCATGTGGTCACAACCATTGGGGCTTTCGGTGGAGCTCCCGATGGGGCCACGAAACGTGTGAATGGTGTGCCGAAATTGGTGGCGGGGGCGCATGTGGTCACAACCATTGGGGCCTTCGGTTGCGTTCCCAATAGAGCCACGAAGAATGTGAGGGGTGTGCCGAAATTGGTGACGGGACGCATGCGGTCACAACCATTTGAGGTTTTCGGTAGCGCTCCCTATGGGGCCACGAAACGTGTGAAGGGTGTGCTGACATGTGTGGCGGGGGCGCATGTGGTCACAACCGCGGGGACCTTGGTGGAGCTCCCTATGCGGCCACGAACCGTGTGAAGGGTATGCCAAAATGGGTGGCGGGGACGCATGTGGTCAACATCGCTGGGGCCTTCGGTGGAGCTCCCTATGGCGTCACGATGCATCTGCGGGGTGTGCAACAATTGGTGTCGGGGGCGCATGTTGTCAAAGCCATTGGGACCTCGGCGGGGCTCCCTATGTGGCCCCGAAGCGTGTGAGGGGGCCGACATGGTTGGTGGGAGCGCATGTGGTCACAACCATTTGGGGCTTTCGGTGGCGCTCCCTACGGGGCCACGCAACGTGTCAGGGGTGTGCAGAAATTTGTGGCCAGGGCGCATGAGGCCACAGCCATTGGGGCCTTCGGTGGGGCTCCCAATGAGGCTACGAAGCGTGTGAGGGGTGTACCGAAATAAGATGCGGGGGCGCATGTGGTCACAGCCACTGGGGCCGTCGGCGGAGCTTCCAATGGGGCCATGAAGCATGTGATGGGGTGTGCCAACATTGGTGGCGGAGACGCATGTGGTCACAACCATGGGGGCCTTTGGTGGAGCTCCCTACGGAGCCACGAAGTGTGTGAGGGGGTTGCCGAAATGGGGTTCGGGGATGCATGTGGTCACAGCCATTGGGGCCTTCGGTGGGGCTCCATATGTGGCCACGAAGCGTGTGAGAGGTGTGCCGACATGAGTGGCGGGGGCGCATGTGGTCACAGCCACTGGGGCCGTCGGTGGAGCTCCAAATGGGGCCACGAAACGTATGAAAGGTGTGCCGAATTGGGTGGCGGGGGCGCATGTGGTCACAGTCACTGGGGCCTTCGGTGGAGCTCCCTGTAGGGCCACGGAGCGGTGTACTCGGTGCGCTGACATGGTGGACATGCGGATGCAGGGAGGGAGGAAGGGCGAGGAGGAGGAGGAACGCGGGGCGCTGCCTTTTCAAAGCGATGGCCCAACACCACAGGATGGTTGGGATAAAACTACATGAGCTCACGATGGACAAGATTACAAGCATCCTCCTCGCAGCCTGGTGGCACCAACGCACATAACGATGCGAGACCAACTCCGAACAAGATCGACACGCCCAGACCTGCAATGTCTTGAGCCTTGCCAACGCTTGGCCCGACAATGGGAAAGTCTGTGTGCATATCCGCCACCGCGCCTCCAGCGGTTGGTGTGCGTCGGACCTCTGCTTTTCCGGACGGTTTCGCATCAATTTTGCCAGGGCATTTTTTGGTTTGCAGTCAACAGAAAGGCCAGGTTCGAGCGCGGCACTCTAACACCAACCCAGCACATGCAACAACAAGTGACAAGAAGCATCATGCAGCTCTCATCCACATGGCGGACGGGAGCCAGAAGAGCGGACGAGCGAAGCCAGAGCGGGGGAAACCCAAAGAGCCAGGCGGCTGGGGCGGGGACAAAGCGGGAAGGGAAGAGCCAGTCCCCCTCCGATACCTTCAGTCTCGCCTAGCATCCAAGAACATGGTGCCCACACCAAGATTTCGGGTCTCGCCTTCCGTGGCACGCCCCCCCCCGGGGCGCGCGCGCCTCCGCCCAGCCCCTTCCCTCCCCCTCCCAAGCGCCCGTCGCGCGGCGGTGCAGCTGAGCTCCGCCGATCCGGCGCGTGAGTTTGAAAGAGCCTGGCCTTGAGCTCGCAAAAGCTTCGCTCTGGAACTTCCAGAGCGAAGCTCTTGAGCTCTGGAGCTTGCTTGAGCTCTGGAACTTCCTTGGGCTCTGGAACTTCCAGAGCCTGGCCTTGAGCTCGCAGAAGCTTCGCTCTCGAACTTTTGCGAGGAACACGCCCCCCCCCCTTCAAGGGGGTGGGGGCGTGTTCCGCTTTTCAGGGCGGGCGGGATCTGCAGCTTTTGCAGAAGGCCCTGTGTAGATGCGCTGGAGCGTCGGCAGCCTCCGAGGCCGGATGCTTTGCACCTTTCTATCGACGGCCTCTGTAGATGGGCTTGAAGCCGACTGGGTGCAGATTTTACAGAAAGACACCTTGTAGATGCCAGAGAAGGCCGGGCCCTGGCTGGAACCTGGGCCATGGCCGAAGCTGGGGCCAGGGCCGGGGCCAGAGCTGGGGCCGGGGCTCCGAGAGTTCATGTTCATGTCGTTCCTTCTCCTTCGAACCCCGCCGCCACAGCACGACACAGGGCGCGGCCTGGAGCAATTACTGCCCAGGCCAGCACGGCCCCGAGCGCCACTTCTGCGAAAACCGAGCGCTCCTGCTCAGAGCGAGGCGAGCTGCGACAATAGCGGCTCAAACTCGGTCCTCGGACCCCTCCTGGTGTCCGCACGCATCAGTTTTTCGAACTGAGCCCAGCAGTGGCGACGTGTTGGCCCCCCGAAGGCCAACTACCGTCGTGTCAATTGGCCCTCCTCTCTTGAAGCAACGGCGGCTCTCCCGCCGAGTCCACATCCGCTCAGAATCGGTCCCAGACCCCTCCCAGAGCACATCCTGATTTGTTTTCGGTGCGGGTCCATCCGTGGCGACAACAAACCTCCAGGCGGTTCCAAGTAGCACGACCAGCGACAAGGACAGGAGAGACGCAAGACTCTGGCTCGGGGGACTCGGGTTGGCCTGGCGTGGCCAGCAAGAGAATGACGAGACCCTGTCCGAAGCTTGACGCGAGTTCCCGCTGCAAAGGTCCCACGAGAACTGGGCCGTCAAGCTCCGGGACGGGCTCGCCAAGAAGCCGCCGCAAACCCGAGCGCCAGCGAGCTCGAGCCCTGCGTCTCCCCGGGCGCAGAGCGGGGCGCCGTCGTCTCGCCGGGGCCTTCGCCGACCGTGAGGGGCCACGACGGGGGCGCACAGCTCGGGGGCGTGCACTGCCCGCCCTCGTCGGGGAGCCTCGTCGAAGGCATGGACCACAGGCGCCCCTGGATGCACGTGTTGCCCCCCCCCCCCCCCCAGGGGCTGTTCGCCCCTGTCGTCGCCGCCGAGACCGACTCTGCGGGACACGTGGACGGGCACCGCTGGCGCGCTGCGAGCCCTCCCCACGACCTTGCCTGCGGACCACCGCTGGCGCCCCTCGCTTGCTCTGGTCGTCATCGTTGCAGTGGCGTTGCGCTGCAAAAGCATTGCATTGTGTTCCCATCGCGTTGCGTTGCATTGCGTTGCGTGGCATTGCTTAGCACCACATCGCTTGCACCACAGACACTGCACCAGCTAGCTCACACACCATAGCTTGCACGATATGGATTATTGCGCCACGTAGATTGCACCACATAGCTTACGTCACGTCGACTGCATTACGTAGATTGCAACACACAGAGTGCATCCCACAACTTGCACCACATAGGTTGCACCACTTCGCATGAGTTTGGTTGAAGGTTGTGATTATGTTTGGTGGTGGTGATGGAGGACGAGGGTGGAAGAGAAAAGGGTGGGAAAGGTGGGGGCATGTGTGTGTGTGGTGTAGGTGGGTGGGGTAAATGTATGGGCAATGGCCTAGGATGCATGGAGATAAGGAATGCAATGGGGTGGCGTGGCGTGGGGCGGGATGAGGTGAAATGGAGGATGGGGATGCGGGTGGTGTCTCTGTCTGTGTGTGTGTATGTGTGCGTGCGTGTGTGTGTGTGTGTGTGTGTGTGTGTGTGTGTGTGTGTGTGTGCTGGGGTTTGAGGCGAAGGGAGGATTAGTGTAAATGAGTGGGGTGCTGTGTGTGTGTGTGGAAACGGCAAGATGAGGGGTAGGAGGGAACATGGAAGGGAATGGAGATTGGAGGGATAGAAGAGGAACAGATCGGAGGGGGGAGGGGGGAAGAGGGGGGCAAAGGAAAAGGGGCACATCCAGAGACTTCGGATCGGCGGCAATGGCCGAAGGCCATCACAATGATAGAATCTGTCTGCGCACACTGGTGAAACAATGTGTGTATATGTGTCTGCGCAACTGGGCCAAACGATGGAGGTATGCATGCGCATTGAAGAGAGTACTGATTCCCCGAACGACGCTTCTTTGCACTGGGGGGCCCGTTCTCGCTTCGGACTGCTCGAGCCCTAGCAGCTGGACTTTGCGTATGTTGCCACACGTCCCGCCCACAGGCTCGCGCCGAGAATTGCCCCCCAGCCCCCCTTCGCCGGAATGTTCGCAACTTGCGAACCATGGGGTCCCACGGAACCCATCTGGAGCCCACAGCGGTCCTTATTCTCCGCGTGTTGACTGCACGTCGCTCACATGCTGCGCTGTCATGCTGCTCCTGCGCAGCGGGTCCTGGACCGTGGGGCCCTGCCCAAAGACCAACCTTTCGCCCCGGTAGTTTTCTTGACGGCCCCGGGGTCCAGGGAGGGCGCCGGGAGCACGAGATGTTGGCGAGAAGCCTCGGAGCCCCTTGCCTTCAAGACCCTTCTTTCCTTCACTGCGTGCGCCGGAGAGAAAGCCTGGGCCAACGCGTCATTGCCCGAGGTATGTGCACGGATGAAGGGGGGGGGGTGCAGGGACGTGTTGAAAGAAAAAACGGGGCCATAACAGAAGAGAAATGTCATGGAACCAACCGTGATATCCCCCTCCTAATCCCGCCCCCGAGTTCATGGCGGATTGTTCCCAGAGGGACAGGAGACGGTATACACATACCTTCTCGAAGGTCCGCACGGCACGAACCTCGGAGAAATTGTGCTTATGCTGTTTTTGGTGTTTTGTTTCATGGCGAGCTGCTATGTGCTGCTCTGAACGGGCCATGGAAGCGGCAAGGCCGCTTCTTGGCTGTTTTTGAAAACCTGTCTTTGAATCATGGAAACGGTAAAACATGCTTCCGGAAATGCAACAAAAAAACGGCTGTGGGATTGGAGCCGGAATAGCCACAGAAGGAACTGGGAACAAACTGGTGCCAGCAGCGGCAAAAACAACGGCGCCCTGTCGTTTCCAGGGCCCACTACGGTCGAGAACTTTTGCTTAGCGTGTCGCGGCGGCGGCCCTGGCGACATGCTATCCTCTGCAAGCGGATCGCGTGTCGCTGCGCTCTGCCAGGGAGGCTGGGAAACGCTCGGGACATTGACGCCTTTGGACCAGGAAAAACATGGTGGGCCAGAACCGGCGGAGCGAAAAGCCAAAACTCCTGACCGTAAGCTGCTGCTCCTGCCGGGGCGCCCGCCTGGGATCGTAGAACAGCCACCGCTCGGCGCCCTCGCCGGTCCTCCAGCAAGGCCCGTGGCTGTGGCCGCCGGCCGGCCAGGGGGTCGCTCGGGGCCACGGGAGGGGGGAGAGATTGGAGCAGCGAGGGGTGGGGCGGGGGGGGAGGAAGAACAAGAGGAGGGGCGGGCGGGGAGGAGGGTGTGGGGAGGAGGGGCAGGCGGCGAGGACGAGAAGTTGGAGGGAAGAGGAGGAACAAGTTGGAGGATGTGTTGGGCCCGTTTTCAGGATGTGTCTCTCTCTCTCTCTCTCTCTCTCTCTCTCCTTAGTGCCGTGCACATCCATATCGAAGGTTCTAACACTTACACGGGTGCATTGCGGGTTCTTTACCAACACGGGGCTCTCGCTTGATACTTGCTTGAACGGCATTCTCTTGCACATTGGTATGTGACATACGCACAACTTAAAATGCCATTTTCCAAACGGGGCTCCCGCTGGCATGGCGCGCGCGTAGCGCTCGTCTGTCAAGCGAGCGCACCCCGTAGCGAGAAGGACAACCTGGAGGAGCTTATGACGAGGAAGCTGGGGACGAAGGGTATGCTGCATCATCGGTGGTGCCTCTTGGATTCTTCTGGCCCTCCTCCTCCTGCTGCTCCTCCTCCTCCTCCTCCCTCCTCCCTCTTGGCACGCCCGACGCGGGAGCACGGAAGCAGGGGCACGATGCCCGGTCGCAAGTGTTGCCGAAGACCGGCAGTGGACACTTTTGTATCTGCGACTTTTTGCCTCACGCGGACAACTCCCGCGGCGACCCCGACAACGAGCCATGGGCACGAACTGCTGCTGTATCCATTTGGGCCGTATCGGTCCTCCCTCTTCCGAAGCCTCCGGAGGCATCTCCCGAGCTCCCGGAGGTCTTCGGAGGCCTCTGGGGGCCCCCCAGAAAGGCTGGACACGTGCAACAGCCTAGGACCTCCTCCAAGCTGGCTCCTCCTCCTCCTCCTCCTCCTCCTCCTCCTCCTCCTCCTAGAGGGCCTCCTCCTCTAGAGGGCCTCCTCCTCTCCTCCTCCTCCTCCTCCTCCTCCTCCCTCCTCCTCCTCCTAGAGGGCCCTCCGCCTCCTGGCTCCTCCTCCTCCTCCTCCTCCTCCTCCTCCTCCTCCTAGAAGGCCTCCTCCTCCTCCTCCTAGGACCTCCTTCACGCTGGCTCCTCCTCCTCCTCCACCTCCAAGAGGGCCTCCGCCTCCTGCTGCTCCGTCTGGTGCGACGGCACCTCTTGCACATCCGCCTTCCTCCAAGCCCCTCCCCGCCACCACCACCACCACCACCACCACCACCACCACCACACACCACCACCCACCACCACCACCACCACCACCACCACCACCACCACCACCACCACACCACCACCACCACCACCACCACCACCACCACCACCACCCACCACCACCACCACCACCACCACCACCACCCCACCACCACCACCACCACCACCACCACCACCACCACCACCACCACCCCACCACCACCACCACCACCACCACCACCACCACCACCACCACCACCACCACCACCACCACCACCACCACCACCACCACCACCACCACCCTTCCTTTTGTTCACCCCTCTCCTGCTGCTGCTCCTCCTCCTCCTCCTCCTCCCCCCCCCTGGCCCAAGGACCTCTGGGAACTTGCCGCAGCCCGCCGAGAGCCTCCGAACCCAGACCCCCGACGTCATGATTTTTTTCACAACGTCGACCCCCAGAGGTCTCGACCCCTTCCCCAGGACCGGCTCTTTATCCCGAGTCGCTTTTTGGCGGTCCCGAGGGCCAGTAAGGGCCACCAGAGGCCGAACATAGCAAAAAAAACCCGTCGCGATTCTTCCATCAACTCGAGGGGGCCTGGGAAAACTGCAACCCAAAGCGCCGACCGCCTCCCCAGACTGCCGAAGACCTCCCAGGCGCAGCAGAGTGTACGCCGGGTGATGGCCTGGTAGGGGGGGAGCGGCGGAAGGGTACCAAGCCGGCGGGGTACCAAGCCGGCGGCATCGCGGGAGGGCGGGTAGGGTCGACGCCAGAGACGATACCAAGCCGGCGGCGGGAATACAATATCTGGCGCAGAGAAGCGGCGCTTCCTCCTCCAGGCTGGCTGCCCGTTGGGCTGCTCCCGCGCGAGGCGGTAGGTTCCCACGCAGAGGGGCGGCCCGTTGGGCGACGTCACCGTGATCTCCTCCGGAGGTCTCGGGGCAAACGACGGCGACGGCTACGATGACGACGACGTCGCGACGTCGTCGTCGGAGGGGGGCAAGGCGAGGGGGGGGGGAGGGGGGGGAGAGGAGGAGGAGAGGAGGAGGAGGAGGAGGAGGAGGAGGAGGAGGAGGAGGGAGGAGGAGGAGAGGAGGAGGAGGAGGAGGAGGATGATGGAGCAAGGAGGAGGAGGAGAGAGGAGAGGAGGAGTGGAGGAGGAGGAAGAGGAGGGAGGAGGAGGCGGAGGGGAGGAGGAGGTCGACGAGGAGGAGGAGGAGGAGGAGGAAGACGACTGGGGAAGGCGGAGCCAGGAGGCGGACCACGACGACGATAGTGATGATGATGATGATGACGATGATGATGATGATGATGATGACGATGACGATGATGATGATGATGATGATGATGATGATGATGATGATGATGATGATGATGATGATGATGATGATGATGATGATGACGATTATGGTGATGATGATGATGATGATGATGAGGATGAGGATGATGATGATGATGATGATGAGGAGGAGGAGGAGGAGGAATGTTCGAAGATGGTGAAGAACATCGGATCCTCAGTGACCGTCGGATCCACAACGAAGACTGTTCAGGCAATCTCTGGCTGCCAGGCTCGATCGCCACCATGTGTTGTGCATGGCATGGCCTGAACTCACACCAGGCACTTCAAACCACCTCCCCGCCAGAGGCGGCCACGCCGCGACGGCGCGGAGGGCAGCCGCGGGTTGCAGAAGGCAACGCACGGGGATAGGAAACCAATCATCACGCTGGCGCCGCTGCCCAACGCGAATCGTCAATCTTGAGCGCAATCTTGAACTGTTTGCCTGGAAGCTCCAACCACAACGGGCGGGGGGAGATCCCTGCCCGGCATCCAGTCCCTGCACCTGGGGCGAACACTATATTGCAGGATACAGGAAACGCGTGCGGCCACAACACACGCACACACCAATACAATAACACAACACACAACACACAACATGTAACGAACAACACACAACACACAACCCACAACCCACAACCCACAACACACATCACACACGCACAACACTACACTACACAACCCACAAAGCACACACAACACACAACACGCATGCACACAACAGACAAAACACGCTACACACAACTGCACACAAAACAGAAAACAACAAACACAACACACACACACACGCACAACAGGCACAGCACACGCAACACACGCTACACGCAACACACAACGCAAGCACTCAACACACACAACACAACTCACAAACCACACACACAACACACAACACACACGCACAACGCACACACAGCACACATAACACACATCACACAACACACAACACAACACACACAGCACACAACACACAACACACAACACACAACGCACAACACACAACACACCCAGCACCCAGCACCCACAACACAAACAACACACATCACACATCACACAGCACACAACACACAGATCACACACACACTACACACTAAACACACCACCCGACTCACACAACACACACGCACACAACATACAACACACAACACACACAACACCCAACTCACACAACACAAGCACAACACACGCAACAACAAACACAACACACAGCACACACCACACACCACATAATTAACACATATCACACAACACACATCACACATCACACAACACACAAAACACAACGCACCACAACACACCACACCACAACACATCACACACACCACACACACAACACAACACAACACAACACAACACAACACAACACAACACACCACAACACAACACAACGCAACACAACACGTAACATACCGTGACATAGCACAGCACAACACAACACAACACAACACATACACACAACGCACACAACACGTGCGACACACACACAACACACACCACACACAAGTCACCCGCACACACACATCACCCACACATGCACACACACAGACACACACAATACACACACATGTAACACGCACACGCACACACACACACACACGCACACGCACGCACACACACAGGCACACGCGGTCGAGCAGCTCAGGGCACCGAGCGGCGAATTGGACACTGCTGTGAAACGGGAGAAGGAGATGCAGTGCGGCCGCGGAGGAGGGGGGCGGGACGGGCTCCAGCTCGGACCATGCAGGCAGGCCTTCGGGAGGCGGGCTGCGATGGCCAAGAACACACGGCCTTGCCGACGCGAGGAGGCCTGCAAGCCGCCTCCTGCGCCGTGCCCGCGGCCTCTGGGCCACCGGGGCGCGCGCGTCCCGCTCCAGGTCCACCGCCAGCGGCCCGAGCGCGCATCGACATGCCCAGTGCGCCGCCGTCACCCCCGGGTGCAGGCCGACGGACCGGCGACGAGTTCCTGCCACGGGAGCGCTGCCACGATCACGAAGCTCGGGACAGATGGCAGAGCGAAGAGTTCGCTCCAGGCACCGTCTCGCGCACAGCGCAGCGGCCGTGCCGCTGTGCCCAAGACGTGACAAGGCCGGCCGAACGCCTGGCGAGCCAGAAAAGAGAGAGCACAGCACCACCGCGAGCCGCGGAAGCGAGCGCGCCCTCTCGCGCAGAGGACATTGCGGCGCGCGCGACCCACGGACGCCCCTCTTTTGGCACCGGGGGTGAAGGGGGATCTCCCCGGCCCACAGGCTCGTTGCAGTCAACCCGTATCATAAGGATCCACGGTGAGGATGCAGGGGCCTTGGAGGGCCATGTTAACGCTTCTCGGACGAGGTTTTGGCCAGCGAAAGTCGCCAAGGACGGGCCGAAAGGGCAAGCATGCAAGGGCACTCGTGGGCAGGTGGCCCGTCCTTGCTGTGCGGGTTGACTGTGCTTCACTTCTCCTCGGCTCCTCGGAGGTGTACGGTCCCCACCTCTCGGTCGGCGACAATCCGAACCCCTGCCCCCGCAAACCGCCGATCCCCCTGAGTCGATGGGCGGCGGGCGTGGGCCTCGGACTTCGCCACAGCGGACGCGACGAAGGCTCTCCTCCTCCTCCTCCTCCTTCCTCCTCCTCCTCCTCCTTCCTCCTCCTCCCCTCCTCCCTCCTCCTCCTCCTCCCTCCTCCTCCTCCTCCTCCTCCTCCTCCTCCTCCTCCTCCTCCTCCTCCTCCTCCTCCTCCGTGCTCGAAGCATTTCCAGGCCTACCCCCGCCGCCCATCGAGCTGCCCGGGATTGCTGCCCGGCGAGGCTGGGGCTCGGACTGCGCGCCGACCTGGCTCTCACCGCGGCCCCCCGCGTGGCACTTCGCTCCCCTGCGCTGCCCACCACGGGAGGCCCAGGCGGCCGCGCGGGCATGAGAGCAGGAGGAGGAGGAGGAGGAGGAGGAGGAGGAGGAGGAGGAGGAGGAGGAGGAGGAGGCGGAGGAGGAGGAGGAGGCGGAGGAGGAGGAGGCAGGAGTGAGGAGGAGGGCCGGAGGGCGGGAGGGAGGGAGGTAGGGAGGGAGGGAGGGAGGGAGGGAGGGAGGAGGAGGAGGAGGAGGAGGAGGAGGAGGAGGAGGAGGAGGAGGAGGAGGAGCCCGCGCCGATGTGGCACTGCAAGAGGCGGGGGGCCGCGGCACTCGCCCCACGCACGGCACGTGCGGCGGGGCGCCCCCGAGCGCCCACCGCAGAGCCCCCGCGTCGGTCGTCGAGAAGACGTCTGGCTCGCCGAGGACGTCCTGAAGAGCTCGCCTTACTTAAGTCGGACCTGTCCCCCTACAGGGGGGTTTTCGACGAAACATAAAACAATACCCCAAACATGCTTCAAAAAGGTCAAAAACAGTAAAAAATAGTCCCCAGACCATTTTTGGATTATTTTTTGACTATTTTTGGGGTATGTTTTATTTTTCGTCGAAGATCCCCCTGTAGGGGGACACGCCCGACTTGAAGCTCGCCCAAGATGGCGCCTCGAGGGTCACCAGCCGAAAGACGTGCGGGCCCCAGCACAGAACAAGCATCAGACATCTGCTGTTGATGCACAAAATTCCATGACCAGAAGGGGCAACACCGCACCAAAGCGCACCGCACCGCTCATGGCATTTTCCGATGCACGGGCGTATGCGACGACATTCCGGTGCCGTCTGGGGGCCGCAGCCACTTCCGCGGCTGACGAGGCCGCCTCGGCGCCAGCGGATGAGACCGCTGCACCGACGTCCGTGGTTGAGGTTGCCGCCCTCCAGCCCGCGGCCGTCGAGGTGGCGGCGGCTGTGGTGGCCAGAAAGGCGCCCCCGACGCACGAGGATGCAGAGGTGCCCGCGGCTGCGGCTGCCGCCTCGCCGCCCGCGAGCGACCGACGGAGCCGCAGTTGCGCTCATGGCCGAGGTTGCCGCCCTGACGCCCGCGCCTGGCACCGCAGAGAGCGTCGCGACGCTCTCGATGCTGGGCAAAGCGGCGCCAACGGAGGGGGCCGAGGGCCCCACCTGGCGCGCGCCGTCATGGGTTCAGATGCGAAGAAACACACCGCCGAGGTCGCGGGGGGGGGATCGCCGAAATGAGCAACCGATGGATGCCGTCTTGAGGCCCTCTTATAGCCCTCTTGGGGACTGCTCGAAGCTTCCCTGGGGCCATTGGGGGCCCCCCGACGACGCCCCTGGGGGGCTCGCAGAGGCTCCCAAGAGGTCTGCACGAGGGCCTCAAAAGGACACCAAACAGGTGCTACAAAAGACCCCCCCATTGTAGAATTCGTTAGGTGCCGTCTTGCAGCTCTCTTGGAGCATTTGAAGCCCTGTGAGGACCCTCCTGTGGCTCGTCGGGGCCTCTTGGATCTTTAAGAGGGACACAAGGGGGCCCCAAGAGGGGCCAAGAGCGTCCCACCCGTCGCGAATTTCGCCCCTCCCAGAAGCATCGGTGAACAAATTGCCTTGCCCAGGACGGCCCAGTCGGGTCCACCCCTCAAATATTTCGTGCCTCCAGGGGGCCTGGGTGCACACATTGTGTTACGCAGGACGGCCCAGTCGGGCCCACCCCTCACGCATGTCGTGGTACAGGGCGGCCCATTCGGGCCCCCCTGCACAGCCTC